TTTTATACATGATATGCGCTGTCTTAAAGTTGGTGCATATATAGTTTGTGCATGAACAAAAAAACCATGCAAAATTGAATCCATCCATTTTAAGAGAACATTTAAATATGAAGATCTATTATTATAAAGTATAAACAACTAAAATATATCAACAATAATAAAATTCAAATCAAAGCAAGGGGATTTAATTAAATATATATGAAGAAAATAAGCAATTTAAATAGACAAAGATAGCTAAATTGACTAGACAAATGTATCAATCTTTGCTATAAAATCATTCTCTCTCCAAATTGTCAAAGACAAAATTGAAAATACATAAATAATAATAATAATAATAATAATAATAAAAGATAAACACATCATGTGAGGTATTATTCTCCGGAACATACATCGAAGCCTTTCGTACATCTTTCCCTTGCTCGGCGATCTTAAAAAAATCGGGCGAGAAGTGGGAGTAGCAACCGAGCTATTTAACGGCTTCCTATAGTCTGCTGCTACGTACTTCTGAGATGCGATTAATCTAATGTAACTATTCAAAATTATTAGTATCATAAACTAACTAAAGAGAAAAATAGAAATGATAGTTTTTATTCTTTCTTTGTATCAAGAAATATATATATATATATATATATATATATAGGAATATAATTAGTCAAATGCATAGTTACCTCAATGTACATTACATTTTCGGCACGGAGCTTTTCGTTCTCCGCTCTAAGGTTTGTGTTCTGATGGCGTGCGTGCTTCGTTTGTGAGAAAGAGAAAATCGCGAAATATGTTGAGCAAAATTTTGGGAGAAAATCGCGTGTTCGCCTTCATTTGGGTCGAAATTTTGATGTGAGGTTTCCGTATTAGTACATAAATAGCGAAAGAAAATTTAAAATATGTTACAATACATTTCACTTGTAAGAAATTATGAATTCATTTTGTATGAAAAGTGCAATTAGTTAAAAAAAAAAAAAAGAAAACTAAGATTATTTTCGAGCTTTTTCTCTGAATAATTCGTTTCTAACAATTTCCCGGTAAATATTTTCTCGACTCCCTCGTCTGCTATCCTTGCCACCTCACCATTTTCAGACATGTTTGAGCTCATATTTTAATGCACATTATATTATGTTTCATATATATATCAGTTTACTTTCTTCCTATGTATAGATTATGATTTAAAAAAAAAAAAAATGATGTTAGAGTTAGAACTAATGGTTGGATTATTTACTGTTTCGTGTCGTA